GAGAAATATAGATATATTCTTTACTTATTTTTTTCTTAGTCTCATTAAGTTCTAGTCGTAGCTTCAAAATGGATTCGAACGATGTTCGACAATTGTTATATATTTCCTTGTTCATTAACATTGTGATGAATTCTTAGTAAAATATTTATGCAAAATCGATCAATTATTGTATTGCTAATCGAGGAAATATCATTAGTGAATGTTGTTAATACAAAATTGAGAGTATTAGTGAAAATATTTTCTTGAGCTATAATGTCAATTCATTGATTATCAACATCCAACAATGAATAAAGAACATCCATATTGTCAAGCTTTTTTAAAATGGCAAGTAATATTCCGTTATGTAAATCAAAAAAGCCAACATGAGACTGATTCATGTTGAATTTGACCAATATTTTTCTTATTATGCATGTAGATATCTATATATATGAAGAAGAAAGTTTGTCTGTTTGCTTGTATGTTTTTCATGCATTTCCACACCGTACGAGCAAATGCGACGAAACTTTGCATGGCATACTCTTTGATCCAGAGGAAGGTCAACGACTACTTTTTGTCGAAAAAACATGGGTCCACCGCCCGCAAAAGACTCGCTTCTGTACCTGATCAATCAGATTGCAGCATTCGGTCCTATCGAAGAACTGTTGAGTAGCACGTTATGAGCATACACAAGGCATGTACCTAAGGGTTTTCGAGAGTGCCGTGCTTGAATTTGCGGTCCATTTGCTTGGAAATCTGATTAGTTAGCCGGAAACCAATAGAAATTCAGCTGCGAAGAAAACAGACAAAAATATCTACACCAGAGATGAGCGAGCCGCGGTGTAAAACCGCCCCGTCCCGCCCCGCCCCGCCGGCGGGGCGGTGCTAAAACTTGACGAGGCGGGGCGGTGACGGTGCATGACGAAATTTCGCGGTTTTCCCGCCTTTGTATAACCTTGATTTTTTAAATATACTCAGACCTTTAGAGACATCTTTTTAAAATTTTAAAATCTTTTCACAAAACTAATCAGTAAAAAAAGACTTGTTAGCGCAGCTCCAGAGGAGCTAAAATGTGGAACTCACATATATTTTTTTAATTTTTTGTCCTGATGCCTTATTTTTAAATTGTAAAATACCTTTTTTCCGAATACGTATGAAATCATTGATATATTATATAAAAACTAGAGCATTTTATGGGCTGCTGAGGTCTGTAATGGTGGGGGTCAGGGTTACCAGATCGAAAATTAAAAAATCAGAAAAATTTTTCTAAAAATTGGGAAAGTCGGAATTTTTGTTCTCGAAATCGGAAGAAAATCAGAAAGTATTTTTCCATGCTTAAATAACTAGTCTATATATTTTCGATAGCTTCAATATCCTTTATCTTGCTTCTGTTCATCTTTTCGAAGCAATATCGGAAATGATATTTCATAAAGAATTAAAGAAAATATCGATTACACAATTTACTCATGATTGAGAAATCTACATAAGTAATTTGAACAGGATCACATTATTTTTATCAAAAATGCTATAACCAACTTGACGAAACAATAGAATCAGTATTGTAAATTCATACACACACATGCATTTCACAAAACTTATGCAAAACAAAACTAAGACTTATTCTGTATTATGTTCGTTTTTGTTCATACTTTTTTATTAGATCGAATACTCTTCAAAATATCAGGTTGAGGTAACAGATATTCATAAAAATGTCCACAAGTATAAACAGAACTCATTCCGATTTTCAATTCTGCAACAGCTAAATTAGTACCCATACGATTATGATTAGTTTTATGATATCTGTGATGAAACAAAAAAAGCTCAGAAACGAAAATATTCTTAATTAACACTATAGTAAACGAACAGAGAAAGTTAGTTCATCGTGATAGAAAGCTGGATCTTAATTGTCTGTAAAACATCATAGTTTTATTGGAGGATATGCTTTCAAATCACTGCAGTGTGGTTTGTTGAGTTCATGACGCTTCACTACCCGATAACTATGGTGAAATAGATCGCTATATATGTGTGGTGTCGTGTCATGGTTAAACTATTCTAGAATGTCCTAAGAACTTGAATTCCCAAATAAGACTTCGAAAACCGGAGAAAAATTAGGAAATCTGAAGGCGATCGGAAAAATATGTTAAAATCGGAAAAATCGGAACGTCGGAAAGTCGTTGGAGAAACTTTTAAAAAATCGCAATTTTTCCTGCCGTATCGAAAGATCTGGCAACCCTGAGTGGAGTGTCTGTAATGGAGTGGGGGAAGGGAGAGAGCCGCCAAACCTCGAACTTAAAACTTACAATCACTATTTTATTCGAAAATATACGTGAGTTCCACAAAATGAGTGACTGTATTATAATTGCCTTTCATTTTCATATGTTTATTTTTTTCTATTTCGGAACGATGTTTATGCATTTAAAATATGCCTCTTCATCTCATGAAATGAAATAGCCATTATGAAAATTTAATGAAAAATTTGTCAATAAATAGTTTTTTAAAACATATTTTTGACGGGGCGGGGCGGGGCGGTGGCGGTTTCAATGCTAAACAGGCGGGGCGGTGGCGGTGCGGAACTTTATCGGCGGTGCGGGACGGGGCGGTGACGGTGCGACTTTTTTGCTGACTCGCTCATCTCTGATCTACACTTTCGGGAAAACGATGAGATAGGAGCTTTTAGAGGTGGTGAGTTCGAATCTGGAGTTCATTCGCCTCGAAATCTGATTGGTTGACCCGCAACTAATATGAATTCAGCTGCCCAGAAACCGAACATATGCTGTATTTTTTATTAATTCATATTCAACAAACCATTGATGTTCTTTTTGCCAAAAATTATTTTGAAATTGTTTTAATTTATCAATAAATTCATTTGTTTTATTTTCATAATAATAACAAAATGCAAATCTAAAATCATGTAAATATGGTAATGATGATGTAATTAATTCTTGCTAATAATAAGCATTACACATATTATTAGAAAAAGATGATATTGTTAAAGATTTTAAATTTGGTATTTGTTTTAAAAACCTCAATATCATTAGCTATACAAATCTTCATTGATTTATCTCAAATTCTTTTAAATTCATATTCATTTCGTAATGATTGAAATGGATCATTCTAGCTACAGTAGTAAAAACAGTTTGATAGTTATGCACTCTAACGATTTGGTACGAGTAGACGCTCTTTGGAATCATTTTTTTATAACAAAACCAGTACGCTGGACAATGATGGTTTTAAATAATATCGTATCTTTATCCCTGTATACTTGTGTGTTATTGATAGATTATGTTAATTAACATAAAAATTATGAATATCTTCGAAAAATTTAATGATCAATTTTCAAATTATTTTCTTCAGAAAATATGCTACTAATTTATTACAATAAAATTTTTTTTTTTTGTTCTACAGGATGATTCACTTATATTTAGTAGTTTTCTTCAGTTTATTGTATTTCTACAAAACGTCAGAAATTTTTTATTTCTATATGATTAGATAGAGCGTTGATTACTCTATCCAACGGTATAGTTTTCATTTGATTTATCTCATGTGTTGGTTAAAAAAATCAGTAAGTTTCGTGAAGCAGACAAAAAAGAATTTTTTTTTCTGTGAAATTTCGGTATGTTTTTTTCGAGTAATTATGACGTATTGGACAAATGAATATATTTCGTTTGTATATATTTAGATAGGGAATTCATTTCTCTATCGAACTATATATTTTTTGTCAATTGATTTTCTACTTTGACCAAAAATTTAGTGAATATTTAACAAATTTTATTGATAAAAGTTCAATTATTTGTCTTTGTCGAGTAAACTATATCAATCTTTTCCATTAATATAGAGTTCGATAGAGCAACAATTCCTCTATTGATTCATGCAATTTTAACTTGATTTAGTTATAAAATCTTAGAACTAAATTTGAGATTATACGAATAGCACCGGAAATGAAGTAGTGCGAAAGTGTCTGAAATTTCAATAGTAAAATTTTATTTTATTCTCAAATTCAAAACAGTTTCATTCAATATTTGGCACAACATTAAGTTTGAAGAATCTCTTCCATTTAAGGCTAATTTCGCGACAATCAAATTTGGCCTTTGTCCAGTATACGTTTACAAAAGTTTTTTTTTAGCTAGTTTTAGAATAGTTTTAATTTTTTAATCAAGACATGTGATAAAACAAATGAAAGTTATACCGTTGACTAAAGTAATCAATACTCTATCTAATCATATAGAAATAAAAAGATTTTTGACCTTTTGTAGAAACACAATGAACTGAAGAAAACTACTAAATATAAGTGAATCATCCTGTACAAGGACAATAAGAAGTTATTCTTTTGTTCACTTATGTATATATATAACGAAGAATAGAACGTGATTCTATGTGCACATATT